GTAAAGCTGCTGCAGAGCCACTATTTCAAGTATACTACGTCATCGAGTGGCGCCGAAGGACTGTTTAAATGCCCAGCATTGGGCACTNTAGCGCTCCCCTGCTTGAAGGACTACTATATATCAGCCCAATTAAGAAGCTTGTTCTGCTGGTGCAAGCCAGACTACAGAGCTAGATGGAAAGAAATTGAGAATAATGTATCAGGAGGAGTACCCATCGAGGCAAGGTTAGGGGATAAAAGACATGTTAAAAACTTACTGGAAAAAGATAACCGCTGGATAAACCTCTCTTTAAAATTATGGTTAAGGGTCCTTACCAGGAGTGACTCGCTGGAGGAAATTAAGATATTAAGATGGTGCTCACATGATCTTGATTTCACCCCGAGCAAGCTGGATAAATCATTGAAAGATTGGGCCAAACATGGCCTTACTTCATATTGCACATTTTTCAGCAAAGGAACCATGTTTGATTTTCAAACACTAAAAAAACGATATGGATTGAATAACGGTGATTTTTTTTAATTTCTACAGGTACGCCATTACTTAAATAGTTCCCTACCAGACAGCCAGAAGGCCCTTGAAAATCCTTTATTAATAGTTTTCACCAGTGCATACACATCAGACACAGGGATGAAAGTAATCTCAAAACTTTACCAAGCTCTTCAAGATATTAAAAAGGAAAATACTTTCTATATAAAACACAAATGGGAAAACGAAACCAAAAAAACCATCCCTGACGAAGTCTGGACAAATTACTTTACTTTTCAATGGAAGATCTCGAGCTCAGGCACCTACAGAATGTTTAGTTGGAAGATGCTGAGCAGGTACTTTTTCAGCCCTGCTCAGTCATCACATCATCTAGGGTCCCCCAGCTGCTGGAGGAAATGTGGTTCTCAGCTAGCACATCACTACCATTTGTTTTGGGCTTGCCCTTTAATAGTAAAATTTTGGGAAAAGATTAATATCGAAATTGAAATAATACTACAGGAAAAAATCCCCTTAAACTGGGACGAATTTCTATTTGGGCTCGTACATTCAATCCCCACAAACTCCAAAACAAAACAACTATTTGGAATTCTTACTGTTGCAGCAAAAAAAGCAATAACTAGAAAATGGCTCAAAGCGGATATCCCTTCTCTTGAACAACTGGTACGACAAAATCCATGAAATCTATGTTATGGAAAGAATCACCTTCTCAATGAGGCTTCAGGAAAACACATTTGAATAAATATGGAAAAAGTGGAGAATTTACATATCCCAAAGACGACCATCCCTTGTTTGACTGTTTCAATACACTGATTGAATGTATATGTATAGATATGTATGTATGGTCACATGTATGTGTATTGATTGTATATATGTATGTTGATATGTGCATATGTACATGTGTAGACATTTGCTATTTCAAACAACCCCTGTGTACTTTTTCGTCTTTATTTTACTTTGATTAATTTTGTTTGCAATTTCATTTGTCACTTTCGGGTCTCTAAAAATATATGATTTGAAAAACTGTACTTGTACTATAATGTGACCCCAAATAAATAGAGAATAAATTTTTTTTTAAAAACATCACCAAGTCAGAACCAGCTGCCATTGAGAATGTAATCTTCAGTTTATTATTATTTATCAAACACCTTTTGACCATTTCTTCACTAAAATGGTGTTGGGAACTTTTGTTTTCTAAATATTTAGGATTTCTAATTAATGACACTGTAAAACATGACTAACCCTTAATCACTTGTTTATCATTTTAGAATAATAGCACACAAAAGAATGAGCTGGAAAATGTGGAAGAATAAAGTGAACATTGCATCAGACTTAAGACTAAATGCACCATGGACTTAAGCTGTGTTGAGTGCATCCTGCCAGCAGGTGAAAGCCTCAGCCTCACACACACCTGCACACACACACACACACACACACACACACACACACACACACACACACACACACACACACACACACACACACACACACACACACACACACACACACACACACACACACACACACACACACACACACACACAGCACTGAACTACAGGTGTGGTGAGGTGATAAGGGCTGGACCTTACTCCCTGTGTGAGAGCTTTACAGTTGGGTGGAGTCCTGCTGCTCACCTGCAGTTTCAGGAAATGACGCTTTGATGCAAACACTCACCGGGAGCTCGTCGTCGGTAAGTTGTTTTAACTGAAGATGCTTTTACTTCTGAGAAATATTTAGTTATGAAGGCAGGTAATTCATCTACTGAGACGATTGTTTTAATACCAACACAAGCAAAGTATGGAAGGCTATAAAGGAGTGACGACAATGTTATATGCCGGGTTTTGTATTGAGTAAGTTACAACAACATAGGAAATAAAACTGGCTATTTCTTTATTTAGGGATTCTCATTTTTGCCTGAATGAGGATACTTGTAGATTTCGCACAGTTTTTCAAATAATGTTGAACTTTGAAAGTCATTGTCTCCAAGCTGGTCATTGAGTATATTATTGTAATTTTCTTGGTGCCTCTGCTCTGATTTAGAGAAATGATGGCTGAGTTTAGGCCATTTATTTTAGGTTATCTTCCCAATATATATTTATTTTGCCACCTATTAATGTAGTTGTAAAATCATCATGTCCTCTGTCACTTTCTCTGGCATTCACCGCTGAAGTTTTAATTGAATTGCCTTCCAGTTTTCAGTTTAGTTCATTCCAACCTAGATATGTGCATTATTATTTATAGCTTTTTCTCCATTTTATAGGACTCTGGAACTCAGGAACAACAACAACATGAGCGCTTCCTGGAGATCACAGCCCAACCTCCTCCTTGTCTGTTTATTGCTGTCTGCAACCGGAGGTCAGAACTCATTTTTCAAGTCTATACAAATCTCCTGAGCTGGACAGAATTGATCACAAAAATAAAATATTCTACCGAAATAAAGCTTATTTTCCACATGGGATTTATGAAAATTCAGTCATTTAATAGCACAATTTACTGGCATTTTAATAGACATGTAAGGTAAACGGTCTTACAGAAGGGCTATATTAATCTGCATTGATCCCTGTGGGGAAATTCAATTGCTTGAATCTCTTGTATCAACTCCTGATGAGAATGAATTAAATGAGTCCGAAAATGTAACTGAACCGTTGATTTGAATTAAATGTATTATGTCAACATATTTCACCTCACTGTATTAGGTTAGTTGAAATCAATACAAATTAGTTGAACCTAATCTTTTTTATTTATAACTTAATATAATTGCTTTCAACTAACCTGGTAGAGTTTTGTGAAATCTTTTGCCATAATACATTTTATTCAAGTTAATCTTTCATTTGTGTCAGTGTACTGGTTTTGGATTACATGGCAAACATCTTTATCACCAGAGTAGCACTCTCTGAACACCACAGCAGGTCTAACATGTTTGCTGAAGATTTCTAATAGTGATTAATCATTACCCTTAATACTGCCTTGAACAAAGAAAGCTAAAGCAAACCAGACTGTTTGAAATCTAATCAGAAATTCAAAATGTCAACACAGAGAAAATGGCATTCTGCTTACTCACAAATGATTCAAGAAAACATCCGGACACATTATTAAACTCTATTTCAGCATGTGTAATCTGAGCCCACATTAATGATGTGTTTGAGTATCAGTCCACTTACAGAACTTTTCCTTTGTGATATTTATTTACTCTGAGCAAACTTAAGCACAGTTTTGAACAAAGAGCGTTATGCGCCATAGGCCTTCCTTTGTCCTGAAGGACGAGCTCAAACAGAGTTGCTGAACAGATTTAAATCACTTACACTATTACGACATATTTCTTTCTTTTGCTTCTCACATTACATGAATAACCAATGAATGTGAGCACCTGCAATGTGCTGCACACAAAACCTAGCATACAGAAATTCAACTCGGGCAACTTTTTTTACTTTTTATGGGGAGGGCTCAATCAAATTATTAAATATTTAAGGATAGGGTTATGTAGTGTTCAAAATGTAAGAATACATTTTTGTTGAGAGCCTATTGAAACTGCATATTTTTGGTATAAAAAAAAAAAAAAAAAAGCAACTAAAATTAACAATAAGGCAATAATCCTGTCGTTTAAAGGTCCCCTATTATACTGTTTTTCATCAAAGTCTCAGATATATATTTAAGCAATAGCTCACGACAGGCCGTGGTATATGCTCATTATATCACAGCTAAGGGGTGTGGTTCAGCCCGACGCGAAGCGAAACAAAAAAAGCGGTTTGCTTTTCAAACTGGGACAAGAAAACAGCGGAGAAGTAACGGGGCAGAAATCCTCCTTTTTACGCAACGCTCCAGACATAGACATCAGACTGCAAAACATATTCAGTTGCCAGTTACTTTGGCATTAGGGCAGGGTGTTAGCAGATTTAGACTTAAACCTTTTGTCTCCTGCAGCAGAAAGGTGAATGATCTCAGCAGTTCAAGCTTAGCCATTCATCACGGCGTTATTTATTATAGGCACACATCTCAAGAGGCTTGAGGACAGAGAGAGAAGGGGCGTGACTTCCAACGGTCTTGTCCCCCAGGTAGTGACATCACAATCATGTGGTACAACGCTAAACAATGAACACAGTTAGTAGTCGCAGCTACTTATATAGACAATAGAGAACCGCAGTGACGCGTCGTAAAACCTGGAAGTAAACTTCTTCCGGTTCCTTCGCGAAAAACCAATGCAAATTCTCCATAGGATTTTGGAAAATAACTCTCTCTTAAACCCCATTTAAGAGAGGGATCACGTTTTGTTCAGCCGGATAATCTCCAAATGTCAACCCTACTTTTATAATTTTTGAATCATAAATCTAGTCGCCAAAAGCGAAATGCTAACGTTATGCTATAAACGAACTACAAGCCAGTACAGCAGCAGGGTCGCACGACTTCAACGTCACGCCAATTTAAGATCGTTTCAACTGACTTGCACTGAAACTGCACTTTAAATATATTAACATTTTAAACTGTATACCCCGGTTATCTAGGCCAGTTTTGTTTAATGTATACCACGTTTATCTAGGCCCTTTTTGTTTTATGTATACATGTCACACTGTGGGAAACGATATTTCGAGATGTATAACACATGTAGAATTTTTGACAATAAAGCTGAAGTTGACTTTCGCGTGCTTGCATATTTTAACAAAGCTTTTCATTTTAGTCCACACTGAGTTTAACTAGAAGTCATGGCTGTGTCAATTACCAGTCTGATATCGTTTTACAAAGATGACAAGAAGAGTGTAGATAGGAGAGAACCACTACAAGTCAGGACACGTTACAGTGCAGCCTAGGTAACGTGTCCTGACTTGTAGTGGTTCTCTCCTATCTACACTCTTCTTGTCATCTTTGTAAAACGATATCAGACTGGTAATTGACACANGTCATGGACTCTGACTGAGTTTCTAACAGTCGCATTAAAACAGTTACTAAATCAGCCTACTATCACCTATAGAACATATCTAGGATTAAAAGACTAATGTCACAGCAGGATTTGGAAAAACTTGTCCATGCTTTTATCTTCAGTAGAC